TCATGTAGAATGTAGCAAAACTCATGTTTTAAAAGAAAGTTAAGCAGAATATTTTTGCATGAAATGTGCACATTTTATAATCAACATGTTTGGGGAGGGTTTTGTAATAAGCGGAATTCGTTCACAGAAATACCTTTTAATTGTGGTGACAATGTAGGCAACATATTTAGTTTGTTCAACATTTTGTTGCTGTGTGTGTGTATAGTCAAAAACTTCATGGACAGATAGAAAAATATATTAAAACAAACCTTTGCTACCCCCCACCCGCATTTGAGCCTGAATTGTGCTTACCAGTTGTCACAAAGGAATAACCACGTTCTGTTAGAATCTTCATGAGGTAGTCGGTCAGATCCCTGCCTGCCAGATCCAGGCGCATGATGGCATGAGGGAGAGCATAACCTTCATAGATTGGGACATTGTGCGTAACACCATCCCCAGAATCAAGGACAATACCTGTGAGATAGTAATGGCCAAGATCAGATAAGCCTCTATGCAAACAAACCTATAGCAATGTTTTCAGGAGCGATGAGGCCTTTCAACAAGCAAATTAGCAGGTCAGAAGAATTTGTATGCAAATAAAGACTCAAGTGGTATAACAAAAATGACTGAGGAGGAGAGCTTTCTTATTTCAAATAGTTCTCAGCATCATGCCACAGACCATAATATCCAAGGCAAAGACTTCCTGAAATTCATCTTCAGCTTACCTTTTCTACCAGTAATGGTACTGTCTTCCATTGCAACTATGGTAAGATATTTATTTTTTTAATACTGAGAGTATTTACTACAGATTGTTTCCCCCCCAGCATAGCGTGCCCATGCTGTATTCACAAAATGGTGTCATTTATCCCACAAAGCTGCTATAACATATAAAGGGCCAAGAGCACCTGATCATCATCCTTCATCTTGGCTAGGCAATGGCCAGGTAAGAAGGAATCACATGATTGGCCTGCCCATATGGTAGGAGAGCCTTCTCTGAAGTGGTAACCCCTTTATGGAATCATCTTCCCTTCTTTGTGTTTGTTTTGGCACCCGCTGAAGACCTTTCTGTTTACCCAAGCCAGGCTTTTTAAATAATTTAATCTGGGCCTGAGTCCCTGTTTCTTAAAATCAGTTTTTAATTTTGGGAGTTTTGTTGTACTTATGTAGTTTGTTGTTGTCTTCCTTTTCAATGGCTTTATGTTTTACTTTGTATTCCAGGTGGCATTTTTTACTTGTATATTGTGAGCCACACAGATAATTTCATATTATGGGGTGACATTCAAATAAATTAGAGAAATCATAAAGAAAAAATGGGAAGGCGCCAACTGCAGGAAAAGAAGGGAGGAACTTCCCAGGTGCTCCTAAATATGTTTATTGGGCCCTTTGGTCTCCAGCTTGGTTGGTCTCCAAGATGGCGCCAGGCCCTATGGGATTTGGGATACATATATTGATGCCATAGTGTTTACAGGGCACCACTTAGAATGGCTATTACCATGCCTGCAAAGGGAGAAAAAGTTGGGGGTCTCTAATGTGCAATAGAGACTGGGCATTATTGTAGGAACTACAGCTTTTTGAGAATCTAGCTCAGGGTTGGGGAAGCTATGGCAACTCCAGATGTTGCTTCAGCTACAACTCCCATCATCCCTGATTACTGCCTGGTGTTGGTTGGGACTGATCCTAGTTGTCCTCCAACTTCTGTGGAGTCGCGTGTTCCCCATCCCCGATGCAAATTTAATGCAGAATACAAGGAGGGAGTGAACTTGGTTGACTTAGGTGTAGAGAGACTGCTAAGCCAAACAACCAGTTGCTTTTTACCTGTAGTACGTCCAGAAGCATAAAGGGATAGAACAGCTTGGATGGCCACATACATGGCAGGCACATTGAAGGTCTCAAACATGATTTGGGTCATCTTTTCACGGTTGGCCTTGGGGTTCAGAGGAGCCTCAGTGAGCAGGGTGGGATGTTCTTCGGGGGCAACACGCAGTTCATTATAGAAAGTATGGTGCCAGATTTTTTCCATGTCATCCCAGTTAGTGATAATGCCATGTTCAATGGGATATTTCAGGGTCAGGATACCTCTCTTGCTCTGAGCTTCATCACCTACATAGGAGTCTTTCTGGCCCATACCAACCATGACACCCTAGAGGGCAGAAGAGACAAGAAAACAATGCCAGGCATTGTGAGACAGTGTAGCTTAAAGGATAAAATGATTGACTTCAGTGTGAGACAAGCGGAGGAAAGTTGATGAAAGATGGTGTCAACAATTCATCATTTAATTCATGTTATTAAAAGGTCATTTTCTTCTTTCGCTTGGTTATGGAACAGAACAGGTATAAAATGTGGGTGAATGAAAGCTAATATATAAAATGTATTTAGGGTGCATTTGCATCACCTGTCATTTAGTAGTAGTTTACTAGTTTGTTCCACCACAGAGGGAGCAGAGGATTAAAAGCAAAAGAAGCAATAGAATGGAAGCTTAAGGGGCCATGGAGTAGTAAGAGGACGATGATATGGGTGATATGGAAAAAGTCACTATTTCTGATCCTAGTCCATCTCACAAGTCTGTTGTGAGATATGGAACAACCCCATTGACATTGACCTAAATTCCTTGGAAGGTGACTGGAATGCAAGTGAGGAAAATAGGATTATAGAAGCAGGGCATGCAAAATTGCTTTGCAGCTGCAAACTACTGAGGGAGAAGGTTGCTATTAATGAGCATTTATATAAGGTGCCAACTGTACATTGTAGCTCCTACAACATGAGGCACTGTGGAAGTGGCATTGTGCCAGACGGGAAAGTTTAGTTATGTGCAGCAACTATGTACAAGACAGGAACGGGAAGACCGATTTATATTAGTTTTCAAATCACTTCCAGTTTAAAAAGGTGGAACTCGCCAATGGGGAAGAGGAATAGAAGATCAAAGCAAAGGGGGGGGCAAGGAATTGAAGTGTCACTAGCAAGTAAATGAAGACGGGGCGGGGATTGGAATGTCAAAAACTGGAAGATGAATTCAATCAATCTATTGCGGTCAATGACCAAGTACTGTAGAAAACGAGTTTGAGGAGCGTTGTGTCTCTCTATGCCCAATGCTACAAGTTTATGATTTGTGGAGGCACACAAACTGATCTGCCAAACAGATAACGAAGAGAAAAGTTTGCGGCAAGGGGAGGGGGAGATTCACTGCAGCAGGCTGAAGAAGAGAAAGTTAGAGAAGAGAGGATTGCTGAGGGAGAGGAAAATCTGGAGAGGGAAAGATCGGAGTATACAGTGGAGCTGGGACGGGTTTTAAAGGAAAAAGAAAAAAGGACGCGTGTTCGCGTACACTGCACTTGTATGCATTAGTTTGACAGTCCCCCGGGCTAGGCAAAGGAAAAGACTGGTCTCTCCTTGTTCTTGGGTGTCGTCGGGGGTGGAAAGTTTACCTGGTGCCTGGGGCGGCCGACGATGGAAGGGAAGACGGCGCGAGGGGCATCGTCTCCGGCGAAGCCTGCCTTGACCAAGCCCGATCCGTTGTCGCACACCAGGGCGGTGGTCTCCTCGTCGTCACACATCTCGGGAAGGAATCAGGGAGCTGAAAGACACAAGATCGGCAAGTAGGGCGCGCCGTCGGGGCCGGGGGCCAGACCGAAAGCGGCGGCAGCGCTAAGCAGAGAGCCCCCGAGGCTGGGTCGCTTCGCCCCTCCCGATCTCAAAAGACCCTTCACGTCTAAGCACGAAGAGACAAAACAAACAACAACAACAAACTCCAGCCAACCGAAAGTTCCCCGCTCGGGCCGGTTCCAGGCTTCAGGCAACGGGCTCCCTTCCCCACATGCCACCCATGATATTCCTTGGCTGCGCTCCTCTAATTCATCCGGCGGGGCTCCAGTTACAACAGGTCAGAATGCCTTCGCGCCACGGGAGACACGACTGTAGTTGGCGCGGTCTACACATTGCTTAAGCAGGTGTCGTGTTTGGATCGCTTTAGGGAGTTAGCCCCTCTCGAATTCAACACCGCCCGCCTCAAGCAATTTGTGGATCGCAGCGCTCTCTCCTATTTTCTTGTATTGACCTGTCTCTAAACTCGGGACCCTCATATTTTTGACTGAACGCAAATTTGGAATCCCAGTAAGGTTTTTTTGGGGTGTCAGTACTTTCAAAAGTCGTTATTTCTTGGGATTCCCCTCCCCGCAACTGTAAAAGTGGAGAGGGTGAAATGTAAAGTTAGAAATAGCGCTAATGTGGCGGCTAAGAGAGCAAACACAACATTTCTTTGTTATGGCTCGGGCAGCGCGCTGCAAGCAAAACAAAACCACCGGTGAATTTTCCGAGGGAGACCAAATAGCTCAATCCTACACAGTGAGAGACTCTGAGAGTAGTTGAACTTAAACCTTAAAACTCTGAGAGTAGTTGCACTTAAACCTGTTACTCTCTAGCCATCTCTTCCCTGCGCGCAAGCCGCGCAGCGCACCCCAAAGGCGATCCACAATCCGAATGGGAAGAGTAAATTTAAACCGATCTTGCCTGGCGCTTCATTGGCTGAAACAGCGCGATCCTAACCGTAAGTAAGTCCTATTGGATGGGGCTTACCCCCAGGTAAAGCGGGGCTAGGATCGCAGCGCGAGGCTGCAAGTGCGCACAGCCCCATCGAACAAAGTGTGACTTGCTTCCAAAGGTAGATCTGTGCGCAGGGTTGCGCAGCGGATCCAATTCACTGCTTCGTAGCCCACCCAACCTCTCTGGATCGCACAGTCGCGCAAACACACGTCCCGTCGAAGGCAACCGAGGTGCTTGGCAGGGAGGCTGCCCTGAGGATGCCAAGCGCGGCTCCTGCCTTGCCGCATCCAGGCTTAGACGGCCGGGCTTGGTCAGCTGCGCTACTCACCAGCTCAACACTTAAAACTGCGCGGGGGTCCTGAGCACCAGGCTGGGTCCCGACTAGCAGGGAGCGCCACCCATTTATACTCGGCGGAGTGGCGGTGTCACTCTCCGGCTCCTGAGGGACCGGCCAGGCACCTTGTCCTTATTTGGTCGCCTTCACGCCATTGAGGAGCAGCGAGGCCATTAATGGAGTAGGGAAGGCAAAAGTCACAGCCCGGGCGAAACACTCGGGGCCCCACAGCCCATGTAAGGTAAGCCGAGGGGGTTTGTAGTCCAGCTGCTAAGGGGGATGGCCAAATAGGGAACCCTTTTGAAGGGGAGGGGGGCGAGTCTGTGTGTATGTGGGTGGGGGGTGGGGGGTGGGAGACTCATGCCAACCCACTTCTGGAGGCAAGTTAAAACACATATGCCTCCTCAATGAATGGAAGTGGCTTTCTCCATCTTGGTGCGCTTAAAGAATCTCAAAGCTGTGGAAAGATCAATGAATTAAGCTCTCGCTGCCACAGTGTCTGGCATGTGTCACTGCAAGGGGTGGGGGTGTCGGCAACTAGACAGGGGAGGGAGAAGCTTTCAAAGGGCAGGGATGGATTCCTTCAGCAAGATGCGAGGAGCTTCCCCTCCCCCAGCCCAGGCCCCATTGCCTTCTGTGTGGGTTCCATCATCTCTCCCCCCCCACCCCGATTTTTGTCCCCATTGCACAACCCCACCCCATAAGGGGTTGTTAATCTATAACATTCCTTAAGCCGAAAGGAGGTGTCACCAAAATCAGTTTCTGCACTTGGGGTGATCAGCCGGGGAGAGAATGTTTCAAACTGTCTCTTGGACTGTTTGCACTGTTTTCAGAATGCTTTGGGGAAAGTTTTATTATTTATGTTTTTGCTGCCCTGCGTTCCTTTGTAAGGAAGGGTGGGGTAGAAATTGAATAAATACCTATAAGGAATGAATAAGTGGGTTCTGCAGCTGAATGTTTTCAGTGTTTCCATTTCTCTGAGATTGCTCCGTTCCATTCCTACTCTACTTTCTGTCATTGTCCCCAGCCAGCCCCCAAACAACCAACCAGTACCCCATGCAGGGCTGTCTTAAGCATATGCAGCGATAGGGTGCAAAGATCTGTCCAGTGCCCCCCTCCAGGTTGCCCAGTTCCAGGCGCGCAGGAGAGTGGAGTTGGCTGGCCGCCTCAGCGTCTCGTTGGCTCGGTCACCCCTGAATTCGTGGCGCAGAGCCGCCCACAGCAGAAGAGCATGCCGTGGCACTCCAACCGATGGATGGGCTCTTCCCCAGACTTAACTCTTGGGCCCCAGACTCTTGGCCTGGCGCCCCTGAGACCCCAGCCCCCAGGTGCCCCGCACCCCTAGTGCCTATGGGTAAGACTGCCCTGACCCCATGGCCACTGAGCAAGGTTTGTTCCCATTGGGCTGTTTTCAGGGTTCCCTCTCCCTTTGGGTCCCCCCCAAAGCACTTTTATTTGTACATTTGCAAATTTTGGGGATTCCCCCAGCCCTGCTAGCTACACAAGGAATGGCCCTCAAATCCTGAACATTTGAAACATATTGACCCATTAACAAAATGTTAAATAAGTGCAATTGAGTATTTTATTTTGATTTTGTATTGTAAACTGTCCTGTGATCCTTGGATGAAGGGTGGTATAGAAATTCTATGAATAAAAAAGTAAATAAAAAGTGATGAATCACAAGTGGCTAAAATGCAGGTGAGTTATTTCCATGACCATCTGTGTTCCCTTGCTATTAAATATTTTCCTGTCGGTGCAACATTTTACCTCATGGTGCTGGGCATTCCTGGCATTGTGGCAATGACCCACCCAGGGAAGGGATTTTGTGACATCATGCGGTGGCCATTAGAGCCAATGGTAAGTACATATTTGAGAGCTGATGTAGGGCCATGGCTTTTTAGTGCATGGTTCATTGGTTGAAAAGCCCCTGCTTGAAACTTTAGGTCAGCCACAGATCCAGAGGCTGGCTTTGTGCAAACTAGGATGTCTCAGATCCAGGTCTGTAATAGGGGAGTGATCATCATATTGCTTTACCTTGTTATAAAGTTGATGAGGATGATGATTAGGGTGGTTAATGGAGTAAAAGGCTTCATTGGCTTCTTATCTAGACCAATTTCCTATTCAGCGATCACATCCATACAGGAAGCTGCATGTAGTTTGTCAAAGGGGACAAATGAAGGCATGAATTGATAACGTTAATTGAAAGTTTTGTCATGCCAGAGTAGAGTTCCATACAGGAAATTCTGTCTTATGTGCAGCAGCTCTTGGAGCTAGGAAGTCCATAATCTAAGCAACAAGCTCATTCATCGCAATTTCGCAATGTGTACAAGGAATTCATGAGGAAGGGAGAACAGAACTGTTTCACTAGCCTGGTCCCCAATGTCATGCGCCCCTTGGTGCTGCCTCTGACCTTCATGCACAGAGTGAAAGATCTGAAAAGTGGTGTGGACATAGGTGATTTTTTCCAGACCTGTGAAAAGGTCATCAGGGTGGCATATGATGTCAGAGGTGGTGCCAGTAGCATGGCCAGAGTCCCCTCTTATCCATCTGCTTATTATGCACACAGAGAGAAGGTCTCAGCAAAATCATAATGTATTTGGACTGTGAGTCCCTTGAGGACAGAAGTGTCCACATTTGGAGAAACTGCTGTAAGCTGCTCTGAACCCAGGGGACAGAACAGGAGATACATCTAATAATTTTTTTTTAAATGTATTGCTAGATTTCAGAAATTTACACAGGACGTTTTCAACAGTACCATCCACATCAAATAACCTTTCATGGGGTTCTTTTAAAAAGAAAGAAAGAAAGAAACTGTGTTTTGGAACTCATCAATTTCTTTCTTTTTCCTCTTTCTTTCATAGCCAGCTCTTATTCAGTAACAGCAGGTGAGCAGGCTGATTACTGAGACTGTCATGAAAAAGTACCTAACTAAGAGAGAAAGCAGCATATGTTTCTGACACAGAGTGCACTAGAAGTATCTTTAAGCTTTGATAAACATGGGAAGAAAAATGCTTGCCTCCTGTAATTTGGCAAATAGGCAAGATGTGTGTGGCGGGGGCATGTTTCTGATGGATTGCATTAGCACATGTTCATTTAACCTTCCAGTTTTTGTCCTTTTTTGTGCACGTTTGATTGTTACTGCATAGTAATGCACACAAGGAAGATGAAACAGCTTGAACCACAAACAAACAAACAAACAAACAAACAAACCAAAAAGCGAGCTCTGGTATTAATGAAATGTGGCAGTTGCTTCCCTGCTCAGTTGTTGAAACATCTACATTCATAATTTGCTCCAGCGGTGGAATCTCAAAGATTCATCCCAACAATTTAAGGATTTTTTGTTGTTCTTTAGTTAAAAATAGAAAGACCGGAGAGGCAGTTGTTGAGTGGGCTTCGCTTGGTATGCAATGGCCCAGATTGTCAATGTGTATCCTAGAGGAACTTCATTATATGGCAGAGTACAATGTCCTTTGGGAACTCAGACTTTAAATTATCCAGACATGTGCATGTCTATGTGAGATATTTGGAAAGCAAGCATCAGGAAGGGGGAGAGGAGGACTCTGCTAGCCACTTCTAATTAAAGGTGTATGCCACAATGCACTTGTATTTTGCTGTTTTATCAGCATTTCCCACACAAAAATCTTATGTACACACCAGATGTTGCAAAGCGGCATGTGCTGTCATAAAAGAAATTACAAAACTTGCACCTTTTTCAGATTATTTTCTCTGAAATACAATCTTACTGGGAACCTTAACAACATTGTTTTTGTGGTATTGTAACCAAATAGAGGAATTAGGTGTTCTTTGACCTTATAACAGATGAAACACTGGGTGTGTAAATAGTCAATGAGGAATTTAGCTCAGGATGCTAATCCTGCTTTGGTTTTCTCCTCAGCCTATCCTCAGTGTTGGAGCTAATAAAAATTTGCAAAGTATTAGAGAAGTTGTAACAAAACCCCAAGCACACTGGCTCCCCCTCAAAACAGAATTGTATGGAGAAATGTTTTCTGTCTCTAGAAATATATAGATACCAAACTTCCTCTCACCCCAAGAGAATATAAGCAATGGAGCCTTTCCACAGCACACAAAGGCATTTCTGTGGGTGTGTTATGGATGGAGATGGTGAATTTGAACTTTACTGAAAGGACAGCAGAAATCAAAACTATCCATTTATTACCTTCAAAACCTTGGAAGTATCCACTTATTGAACCATTCATTATAAAAGCTCTGTTGAGTAGAATGGTAAGTTAATGTGTGTAAATAAAAAAATGGCATCTGCCCCATTACAGCCTTTCCCAAAGGACCCAAATAAAACTCATTCTTATGGCCAAAATCCTACTGCTTCCTGCCATAAAGTGATGTTACAGTAGCTGGTGAACAGGAAACAAACAAACAAACAAAAACATTACTTGAGGGTTATATAATGTTGGGATCAAAAAGACACTGGAAGAGTCAGGTTTTTCAACTATGTTGTTGCATAGTTCCTCTCACACAACAGGGCTTTCCCCTCTTTCCTCTCCTTACCACCCCCAGGGCCCCCCTAATTTTTCTCAGGAGGGTTGGGAAAAACCCAGAAAACATTTAGGGTGCACTCAAGGGGAGGAGAAAGTCCTGTCGTGCAAGCAGATCTTGTTCCCTAGCATACCCCATTTAGCGCTACATTGAATTCCACCCTTTGTTTTCAAAAATACCAGATCAGCTCTTGCCAATTCAGCACAGAAGAAGTTAACCTGATCATAAGGAGGTGAATGATTAGAGATTGGAATGGCCTGGAACATCTCCCAAAAGAGCTGCTAGGCATTTGTAACTAAAGTGTACAACTAATGTACAGCTTCCCTTCTTCCTGTGAGTTCTGAAGTGACAGATATCCACAAAGACAGCTGTTTTATTTATGGAGCCATAGGGCCTCAGGTGCTACCAGAAGCAAATCTTCTGTTCCATGGGAAATGCGGAAAAGCTGACGGCATACATATTCAAACCAACTGCTTTGACATGTCTGTATTCAAGAGTACATGATGAGGTCATGGGGTTTTGTCTACAAGGGACACTTTGGGGCAGGGACGCGGACTTATAAAAAATATTGGGGGGGCCCGGGAAAGCTCATGAATAATAAATAAGCTCATGAATATGCAAATAAAGTGGCTCCGGCCCTAAATAGGGCAAGCCACGCCCCCCCCAGCCAGCCGATTGGCTGGCTGGGAGGTGTGGCCAGTCGGGATTCCCCTGTTCTCGCGGGGGCTG